AGCTGACATTTGCCAAATACATAAATGAAATTACTGTCAAATGTTTCAAAGTATTACCATTTACCATTAGTATATTGCAAATATTTTAGCCGTGAGACCATGAAAATAATTTACGGCTTACATGTGAGATCAATTCTCAAATACTGTTCTGTTTTCTGGTCACACAACTCACTTTTACATAGAAGATATATGTATGATATTGTATATCTACAAAAAATATTGTGATCCTATATCAAATCAAATCAAAATATACTTTATTGTCAGAAGATTTTGTATTCCATCAACAAGATTTGTAGATATAAATATAAGCATAACTAATGGTGTATAGTTAAAAGCTGGCAATTAATAAAGTTTTGAATAAAACGGGTACAAAAACAATAAAAATAAATAAAAATGAAATACACTTTTAAAATGATTCATTAAAATACTCTTGCAAGCTATAATAGGGTCTATCAGCTAGCAAATTTCTAACTGCTTTCTTGAATTGTACGTTGGTCAGATTTGGAGACCTTATATCTACTGGTAAGTGATTGAATAATTTTACACCATTATAAAAAATGGAATCCTTGATTAGTGTTGAGTTAGGTATAGGAAGTCTTATATTAAATATGCTATTACGAGTAGTATAAGGAGAAGAAACAAATTCAAACTCCGTTTTATGTTTGTGCACCAAACATACAGTTTCAAGAATGAACAGTGCAACGATGGTTAAAATCTTATTGGCCGCAAAATAATTTCTGCATGATTCCCTAGGTTTGACTTTACAGAGACATCTTACTGCCCTTTTCTGTAATATCAACACAGATGAGAGAAGGGTTGTACTGCACGTTCTTCAAAATGGTATTCCATATCTTATTTGGGATTCAATTAAAGCGTAGTAAACCGTTTTTGCTGTGTGAAAACCCAGCTCGTTAGAAACCATCCTCACTGCATAACATCCGGAGGAGATTTTACACTTGAGTTGTCTGATGTGTTCATCAAATTTGAACCTATTATCAATATAGACACCAAGAAATTATATGTTCAATTTGTTTTCCAAGATATCATTGTCTATTGACAGTTCATTCAGCGGACATTTAAATGCTATTATATTTGTTTTGGAGATATTCAAAGATAATAAATTAGCATCAAACCAATTTTTCACCTTTTCTAAATCAGATGATATCATTTTATGTAGCTCTTCTGGGTTTTTTTCCTTCCACAAAATTGTTGTATCATCCTTCATCCTTCGAAAGGTCACAGAAAATTGCGGCAGCTACTTCACCAGCATTTATTTATGAATAAAGTTTATGAAGGAAAGAGAATATTGCATCACTTGTATCTTTCTCCGTCTGGAACCCAAATTGGTTATTACTCATGATATCATGCAAACTTAAGAAATCATTCAATCGTTTATTCACTAATTTTTCAATAATTTTCGCTAACGTTGGAATTAGAGAAATGGGCCGCAGATTGCAGGGATTATGCAAATCACCACCTTTATGTAGGGGAATAACAATTGAAGTTTTAAAAGAAGGAGGGAATGAACCAGTTTCGAAGGAGGCATTAATGAGATTAAGTTTCCAATGCATTGCCTGGTAGATTCAAAAGTATTTTTACCGAAATCTCATCATACCCAGCGGTATTTTTATTTCTGATGTCGTTCAAGGTTTCAATTAATATTCATGAATATCTGTGTTATACAAAATGATTGTTAAAGGATCATAGGGCACGCGAATAGTACTGCTTAGCTTTTGAGCAATGGTACAGTAGATGTTAGGATTTAATGGGATATCAACCTTTGTTTTCTTTGATTTTCCTCTGAGGTCATTTATTATGGACCAAGTATCTTTAATTTTGTTAGTTGATTCCCCAATTTTGTTTCTGTAATACATTATTTTCTTTGCTAACCAGATAGTTGATTTAAAAAGTTTACGGTACCTCGTGAGGTACATACAGATAAATTGGTCATTCGTAAATTTCCTAATGTAATGCAGTAAGCGTAAGTTTTTTGAGGAATTTTTCAGTCCTTTCGTCACCCACGGCTTTTTACGCTTCGATTTGATTTTCTGTATAGGAAAAGACTTATCATACACGTCCAATAACATGCTGTGAAATGATAAGAAAGGATTATCTTTGGTCAGAGTGCNGGAATATTGGTATAGCTTATTATCAAATTTATGAATGAGTTTATTGACATTATAATTTTTGCCATAGGGTACAGATGATAAAGCTATGTTCTGAACAATGGATATTTACTCATCTTGAAATCATTTACCCCTGCCATGATAATTATATAATCATTTTGACCTAAATTTTTGGATAGATTGACAATATCTTCAATAACATGTTAAAAAGTCGCTCCTGACTTGACGATAGTTTGAACATTAAACCTATTTTCAGTACATTTAGTTAACATATTCCCCAAGCCATATCCAAGATCATCACATAAGATTAGGATTTGATTTTTTTTTCAATTCGATTATCTTGTATGTCTTGACTGGAATTCAAATTATTCATAGCAGCCCTACCTTCTTTTAGCCCAACATCTGTTGAAGTATGAAAATTTCTCAAAGTTTCACATGAAGCTGCATATATTTTATTTTCTTCCTGCATTTTCCTGTTAGATATTTTTTCTTTCCTGTCATTTATTGATAATATGGGCTTGGGTTGATCTTCATGTTTTGAATTCGGAATGATTTTTAATTTTAGTGAACAATTCTTGTTCCATATCTTCAGTTTCTTTCGAATTTGCTAGATTTTGTACTGAGAGAGTTTCTATGGATGTTAACATTTCTTTATTAATTTTGTTCAGTTCATCCAATTCCTCCTTCAATTTTGACATGTTCATCAATGTTTCTTCCAATTCAACTTGGTAATTTTTATTACTCAGTGCTAATTTGTTTTTTTCAGATTTGAGTTTAGCCATTTCATTATCTCGGTAAATTATTTAATTTACTTAGAAGATCCTCTTCCAAACTGGCAACTTCATCTTCAAAATCGGTTGAAGCTCTTCTTAGTCTTTTTATATAAGTGTCTTTTTCCTGATTATCAATAATCAATTTTTCCATTTCTTCATGTAGATACTTCACTTTATCTTCCCAGTCCGCATCTACTTTTTCTAATAAAGAATCCTTTTCTACAATGTCCTTTAGCTTATTGATAAGGTCTTTCCTTTTTTTAGCGCCTCTTCCTCTTGTTTATTTTTCTTTGCACGTTCTTTAGAACAGAGTATTTTAGAACCATCTATTGTAACGTGCTTCATCCTGTCCACACAGCTGGCATGGTACATGCTGAAGCACTGTGTACAACAGATGTTTGGACACTCTCTACCTTTACAACATTCAAAGCTAGTAGACATTCTGTGTCTTAACAATCACTCCTCTTAAATTAATATGAAAATTTGTCACAAACAGTATAAGTATCAATCCTCTTAAGCTGAAATCACCTTCAAACACCAGTGGCAATCCTCTTGAAAATAATCCTCTTTTGAGATTGATTAAAATGTTGTGTCCCTGGAGGTCGTCACAATAGCCACTACCAAAGATAATTAAAATTAACAGTTTTTGTCCTTTCACTTTGTTTTTGTCATTTAAACTTTTTCGTCATTGTATGTTATTCACTTTAAATTCGTTTCTTGAGTTTATCGTAATCAACTGTTCATTTATATATGGTTGGATTCCCGCAACTTCCACGAATATTTTAATATAAAATTTGCGTTTGAAAGATGTATTTTAACCACTAAAAAATCAAGATATATAAAGCAGTTGATTCAAAGGAACCTTCACTCTGTGTTCGTTCAACTGCACAGAGTTACTTGGCACCATTGCTCCCAAAATGCCAGTTCCTACTAACCACAGTTCCGAAATATTTGTTTTTTCGTGAAGGATTTTGGAAAAATTGGCATACCGCTGCATAGCTTGACTGAAAGGATAACCCCCTTCGTTTGGTCCCCGAAAGAAATTACTGCGTCGTGAGAAAAGAGCTCCTCGCAGTGATTAAAGCAGTGGATTACTTACCACTTCTTTTTATATGGCCATAAATTCTACTCTCAGCACTTCAACTTAAAAATTTCAGAAGGACAAATAGTAAGGTGGATCGAAAAGTTACAAACTTATGATTTCAAAATTCGACATCGGAAAGGCAAGAGTTACGGAATCGTAGAGAGCCTCTCAAGAATACCATGCCTGACATCCAAATACAAACTTTGTCAATGTCCGAACAAGAATACTCGGTTACCAGGAGGAGAACTTTCCACCAGACGTGAGAAGGTAGCGGGCAGAAGACTCCTTTATGAACAGCTCTGATAAGGAGATAAGCTCCCCTAACTCCCACTTCTTCGCGTTCCCTCTGACCCGGAGGGTAGCAACCTGTAAGGGTCCCTTGTCCAGGGATACGAATAGAAGATGTGAGGAACTACCTAACCATTGTGTGGTACGATCGTTAAAAGCCTCTGAGGGTGAAACTACCTTCATGTCGAGGCAAGGTATCATTGTGGCGCAGAAGGAGAATCCGGGCTTAAAAACTGTACGAGAATGGATTGATAATGGAGTGAGGCCGGAATGGCAAGAGATCTCCAAGCACGGCCAGCAGGAAGAGGGATTACTGGCTTCAATGGGAGCCAGTAACCCCTCCAATGAAAAGTTTTGCTGTCTTAAATTTTATATATTTTCAATTGTATATTGATAGCTATATGGTGCATTTCAATGTGTTGTAACAAACATTGTAGTTTCATCTATATTCTACTTATTTGACTAGTTTAATAAACTTATCACAGGATGTGCATGATTTGTATTGTTTACTAGTCTGTATGAATTTAAAGGATGAATTGAAGATTCATGATTTATGCGAGTCAAAGTAAAAACAATTAGTGGCAAACCAATTGTAAATTCAATAGAGAAAATATTGTTAATACATTTGGATAGTAAAATAAAACTTATTTTACACTAAACAACTTTTTCTGTTTCCTTTACCTTTCAAAATTCTTTTAATATGTAAATTTTGCAATTTATCAATTACAGATACCAGAAAGCTTGGAGAGACTATGTGAAATTCAGGCATTTACTAGCCAATATGTCTAAACCAACATATGAGGATAAAAGAAAATTAGAGGCAAAAGAAAATAAATTACTAGAAATGCGAACACAAGGAAAAATGAAGAGAGATGTCACAGTAGCTGTCTCTTCAGAAGGATTTTATAAGACAGGAATAATGTGTGACATTATACAGGTATGTCTGGTAAACATTATCAGATTATGGAAAGGTTCGCTAAAAATCGTTGAATTCTCAATATATTAAACGCTGACGCTGCATGATGTCATGTCAATAAGTCATATTCAGTTCTTGATTCAACGAATGAGAAAAAGTGTGTTTTTTTTATGGAACACCCTGTAATTGTTATATTTTTGAATTAGGTCAGGAAAAAATAATATGATTTCATAAAAGGTACTATGTACCTAACTATAACTATTATCGAGTTATTAATTTCCCTTCGAATTCTGACCAAGCATAAAAGAGGTTTTGGGCTATTGATATCGATAAAACCCGTTTCTCAATATTATAGAGAACGTTCAAAAATCATTGTTTCTTTTTTATAATTTCTGACAAAGATATTTTTGTTATAGAACACCTTGTATTTTTTTAGTCTGAACAATATAAAATTCAATTATTTTTCATTACATTCCATGGTTCCCTATACCTAACCTAAATAGTTTTTAAATATTGGCTTTTTCAAGTAGTAGTTCTTATTTCAATGCATTCTTTCGATGTATTGCTTTTCTAACTGATATTGTATGTTCACAATTAGGTTTAAATCGTTTTTTTATAATTTTAGCATGCAATGTTGATCCCAGTGTTGGTTTGCCATTTGCGTTTTCATCACTCCCTCAATGTATTAGAAGAATCAATATGTTACAAATTCAAAAATCGTGCTCTACTACAACTGGCACTCACTCATCCATCATATCGAGAAAATTTCGGAACGAATCCAGATCATGCCAGAAATAGTTTAACCAACTGCGGCATACGTCAACCAGAATATGGCGACAGAAGGATCCACTATATGAATACCAGAAAAAGAGGTATGTGAAAATTAATAGAGTCTGATATCAATAGAGTACTTTTCCAAGATTTCTGCCTTTCTGTGGCAAGCCAGCATGATCTTGAGATTCGAGAGGGCATCATTCCATCAAGGACCACAATAATCAGAACAACCATCTCAACAGAGTGGTCCAAATGAAGTCTGCGGAGTTCGAAGAGAACTCCTCTTTTCGGATGATATTCGTATCACCGGGTGCTGAGAATTCCACGACAAATATCGTCTTGCTGTGATTCTCGAGAATAACTACATCATGCTTATTAGCTTCTATGACCCTGAGGTCACTGGCGCCTCGGAGTTTAGGCACTTTGATAAGCTGAGGTCTTCAGTGTTATTATTATTATTATTAGAGTGTATTCAAATTATCAGAGTTTTTCAAGTCTCCCATGAACCGAATTTTCTGTAACTGTCACGTATATATAAACTTTTTTTCAGGAATCAATACACTGATAAACATAATGTCCAGATTTGGGAAACAACATGAAACTGAATCTAATATAACTCACAATGAACGTTTGGAATTCCTTGGAGATGCTGTCGTCGAGTTTCTTACTTCTATTCACTTATTTTATTCATTTCCTGATTTGGAAGAGGGAGGTCTTGCTACTTATCGAGCAGCTATAGTACAAAACCAGCATCTTTCTGAATTAGCGTGCGTTCTCAAATTGGATCAGTTCATGCTTTATGCTCACGGTTCTGATCTATGTCATGACCTCGAATTAAAACATGCAATGGCAAACTGTTTTGAAGCATTGATGGGATCTCTATTTTTGGATGGAGGAATTGAGGTAAGATAAAATATATAATAATCTTTATTTTCCTTTAAGTGATGACCGGGGATAACTGTGTCAAAGCTATTTTTCTAGTTTGTTAACCTGGTCTGCATAATTTCTGGAATACATTTACTTCGTCTGTTGCCTAATCACCTTTGATAATGTTTACCTTAGTTGTAGCTGAAAAGTCAGGCATAGAAACTTGAAGGTATGGCCAACAAACTCGGAAAATAGATTTTAAATTGTATAGAAATGGTTCGAACAATTACAGATATAAGACAATACAAATATGAACGGCAAATATAACTGACATTTGTTTAAGATAGTTGAAATTTATTAGTTATTGATAATTTTAATTATCACATTAATTTCATTAATAAAATTTCGTGATGGAATACAAATATTATTTATATAGTATGATCAATAAATTTTTACACAAGTCAACTGTGGCATCTGAAATAAGTGGAAAAAGTAATGGAAACGAAACTACGCGGGTACTGCTTCGAATAACCTAACCTTTTAATGAATACTTATATTTATTCATGAAATTCATCAAAAAAACCCATGTTACAATTTTTATCAATTTCATAAACTTTATGTTCTGAAAATACATTATATTTTATACTCCATATTCCAACTCCAATATCTGGCGATATAAACATTCCCGTATGCCAAACATTTAACAGAACAATTTCCAATTATAGGTTCATAGTTCATTAGTTGTGAGAAGAACTATACGTGTAGTATAAAAGAATCAATACTATGGAAACTTTTTAATTAACCACATTGAACTGTCAAACATTAGTAATATGTCATCAATCTGTCTCAAAATCTAAGAAATTGCCGACGACTCACGTTTGTACAGCTATTCTTTTCATGCACTGAGTGCATCCAAACAAGAGCTCTCTCTCTAATCAATTGCAAACGTTGACTGTTTTGTTTTCTTTTTTCAAATGTAAAATAAAATGATACTATTGAAAGAATGTGTTTTATCAAGTATTTTATTGATGACCCCTGTGTAATCGTTCATTACTGCAAGTATATTCCGGGGCAATTATAAATTACTAGATAAACAATCTCTTAGAAAATGAACCGGGTCCAGTTGGTATTGTAATTGTTCTGAACCGATCTCTGCCTTGTTGAAGCAGTTGATCGGTCTCTTTTCAGACGGTCCCTGTATGAAGGTTTTTCTGTGTGTGTTCCCTGGTATGTATTTCCCAGTACTCTCTTTGTTTCTTATATATCCACTTTTCGATCTGGTTTCGTACCAAAGACTTTGGTACCCCCACCGCTGGTTCAGGACTGTGGTTCGTGTCATCAGCTTTTCGTTGCCTACGATACCAAAATGTCGTGGCACCCAGTATATAGTCAGTCTATTCATATCCGTCAGTTTCCTCAGTTTTTCACGGCATTATCAGACCAATCTTGATGACAGTTTTGGGTTCATCAATGCTCCAAGCACAGCATGGCTGTCTGTCATAAGGCCTCAGATTAATGAATGTGTATAGCAAGATTGCATACACTTCAGCCTGGAAGACTGATATGTTCTGACCGAGTAGGTAACTGAAATGAAGATTTCTCTCCGCATATTTAACTGTAACTCCCGTCCCATGTTCGGTTTTTGAACCATCTGTATACCAGGTGTTTCTGCCGAGCATGTTCTCGGGATGACTCCACTCTTCGTGACTTGAACTTTTGACCGTGAGATCATGTTTGATGATCGTTCCTCCACATATTACAAAACTTATGTTTTGCCGATCCCGGGTAACTGATTGAGTTTTTCAGTCTGAATTGGCTCACCCATATTTTGTCCTTCATTACAAGATATAATGGAGGAAGATTCAAGAGTGTCTCCAGTACAGTTGTAAGAGTGATTTTCACTGCTACCGTTATTCCCAAACATGCAAGTCTTTCGTTTCATCTCCAACCACTAGACAATAGATGTATATTTTATCATCGGTTTAACTGTATCGGTTCTCTTGGTGAATGCTAATATGGTCGACTCCTTTAGGCCGTTCTTCATCGGTCCAACTAGTTATAATATTCAGAGCTTTCCGCATGTGTCCCTTCACTATATTATTATATTTGCCTTGGACCAGAATGATTGAGTCGTCTGCAACGTCCAGTACTTTGTGTCCATTATGGTCGAGAAGACATAGTACCATAGTACCGCCAGAAGCCATTAACAACCCTCAGGTAGAAAAACAGGTAGGAGAACTGCCAAAAGCCATCAACAACCCTCAGGTGGAAAAACAGGTAACAAATCCATACAACTTACGCAAGCGAAACCATATAAAAACACTACAAGAAGAACCTAACATCAGTTACACCTCTCGAAGCGAAGCAGTAACTATAAGTTTGTAGAATCTCTTATAACAAAACACACAGCCCGAATTTCACTTCCAGCCTTGAAATTTCAAAACTTCAGTTCTTTCTTATAGGCTTCCCTATTTCAAAGTTTATATATCCACAATAACTTTGGCTTCTATTTACTAGGCGTCTCCTGCAAAATTATTCATTACTATGGATTTCTGTTATCATTTTTCTATTTGAGAGATTACACAAATCTTTCCCCGTCTCTCTCTGTGAATATTTTGTACAAATCAATTGAGATGTCACTGGAAACCCTAATTTTAAATAAAAATTGTCAAGGAGGCAATGAACCAGGATTCCGCTTCCCTTTCAGTTTTGAATGCCATCCAGAGCGGATGTGTTGTGGATGAGCACCACCATTTTGTGATTTGAATTTTATGTTGGAGATATATCATACATCATCGTGAATATAAACATTAATTTTGTCTTGAATATTATGGACTTTTGAGATCCAGATAAATTTCAGGTTATTATTCACTCGAAGTGGTGAGTATTCTAAAAATTTCAATACTTGTTTCAATATTTTTTTATGGTAAATAAGTTCCGGAATGAAGTTCGTTGAACTTATCATGTTTGTCATCACACACACATTCCATTTATCAAGTTAATTATATATGTTGTACCTAATGTTGAGTCTATGACTTCAACTGAGGTAGCTTTAGTGCCTACGTTTGAAATGTCTAAAGTGTTTGTCTATAATGCGCATGACGACCATACTAATAGCATGACTCTGAGGATAATGAAAGTATGCAAGTCTCTCCATCACGACAAGGTAATGGCACGTTCGATAGGAACCAACCAGTCTTAGTAACTCGATCGAGCTAAGCTTGGTGCAGTTCATAATAATTCTATCACCTAGTTATCTTGGACAAAATCCCTACGACCCACTGGGTTTGTGATTGCTTTCGTTCTAGGGTGCCTTTCAAGCGAGGTGATGAAGCCCTGTGAGGGGAAAGTGGAATCGCCCTATTTGTTGTCGGCCCGACGGTTAAGATAAGATAAGATATTTATTGACCTTTAAAAATTACAAAAATGTTCATGTGATAAATTCACAACATAATTGTGTAGGTACGTCAAGACTGAGGTGTAGATATAAAAATGTATATAAAATTTGTAAAGGTATGTAAATAAAATTTGTAAAGCTGTAAAAATGAGATAAGATAGAAACTAGGCTTTATGTAAGGTAGTACGTTAAATAGACAGTACTAAATATTAAGTCCATATATGGGAAAAAACATCTTCAATATTATAAAGTGGATTTACAAGAAGTGATTGTTTTACGTAGTGTTTCAACTTTTTTGTAGTGAATGTCTTCTAATCCACCGGTATAAGGTTATATAGTTTAATTGGTAGATAGTCAGTCTGCTTCATTGTTTTAGTGTAGTTCACTCGAGGTAGTCTATACAATTCTTCATTGCGGGTATTGTACTTATAAATTTCACTCCCCGTAGTGTTCACATTTTTGTTTTGGTGTATCCACAAGATGGCTTCTGTAATATATATACATGGAAGTATTAAAATTTGCATTTTGATGAACAATGGTTTGGCATGTTCCCTTGGTTCAGCCTTAACCATAGTTCTAACATTTTTTTTTTTGATTTATCAATAACTGGTGGCACGCTGAGCTTGTGCCCCATAATAAAATCCCATACATTATGTGGCAGTGAACCATACCGTAATATACAGTTTTCAGCACTTCAACTGATACTATTTCTCTGATATTTCTAAATAAAAATTGACTTCTGGACAGCTTTTTTTGCAATTCCTGAATGTGTTCTTTCCAGTTCAGGTTGGAATCTATGTGAAATCCTAGTATTTTGACTGATGAATTATTTGCTGTATTTTTTGAGAAAGTTATTTCTTTAATTTTGTTTTTATTCAAAGATAAAATATTTGCGTTGAAGTAAGCTTCACCTCGTGACAGTGTCCCACTTGACATTTTATTGATCTCTTCTAACTTCCTGCTTCTGATTAAAAAAGTTGAGTCATCTGCGTACATAAATACATCTGCGATGTCTAAGAAGGTTGGCAGATCATTCATATAGATTATAAACAACAGTGGCCCCAGGACTGAACCCTGAGGTGCACCATGTTTGATTTTTATGGTCCTGGAGGTCACATTGTAGGATATGTATTGTTGTCTGTCCGTAATGAATGTTTCAATAAGTCAAAGAGCTGGTCCACGTATCCCGTATTTATCGAGCTTTTCTAATAGGACGCCATGTGAGACACTGTCGAAGGCTTTCGACAAGTCGCATAGGATTGCACGTGTATGTACTCCTACGTCTAGATTTTTTGCTATTGAGAGCAGCTCGGTTGAACAGCTTGTTCAACCGAGCTGCTCGAACAAGTCTCTTGTTATGTTTCCTCAAATTATTTGATATTAGTATTGTTTTCAAAATTATCAGTTTATACTTTTGGAACAAACGAGCAACCCTTTTGAGAAACACATTAAACTATTCTGTGGGATATTTATTCTTTTGATGCTCTCATGATGATGATCATACTTTATTTATGCCGAAGGAGTTTTTATCAAGGCTGGTTTTCGAGTAGGTGAACACAAGCTATGTGGATTTCTTCTGGTTTTGAACTGCTCTGTCTGTATTTCAGTTTCGGTTTTTATGTATCAAATTCAAATTCAAATATCTTGCATCACTAGGGTACCTATCCTAAATTTTTTGTAACATAAATGAACTATTTAACAAGTGATCACACCACGAACCCCAAAAAGGTACTCCATATGTCAATGCCGACGTATTGACGAATATAGACGTTTTTTGCTGCTTCTAGTCCAAACTCTTGTATGACATCTCTCACAGTTGCCACTTTTTTAAACATGGTAAATATTTTCTTCTCAGTTGAGTTTTTTCTCGATGTAGATTCCAAGAAACGCAAACGTCGACAAAACGCAAAATCTGTCGAAAAAGTCGCCGCTGTCTGAGAGTATGCAGGAGAATGCGAGGTAGTCAATTTCGCGTCGCTCACAAAAAATCAGCCTTTCGCAGACCACAACTTGACGAATCTTGCATCGGGCTTGCACCCGTACAAAATTCAACACAGGAACTGAAAGTAAACGATCATACACAACGACGTGTGTTCGCTTAATGGGCTCTGGAGCAGTTAGCAACTGACCTAATTTTCATCAAAAAATCATCTTCAGTGATGAGGCCCATCTCTGGATGAATGTGTAAGTGAACAAACAAAATTGTCGTCGAATTTGGGACGATACCAATCCACATGCGATCCAATAGCATCCAATGCATCCCTAAAAAGTCACTGGTGCGGATTTTGGGCTGGCGACATCATCGGTCCATATTTCTTTGAGATCGACTTTGGCTAGGCCATCACTGTCAACGGCGAGCACTATAGGTCGATGATTACCAACTTCTTTTGATCTGAATTCTATTATCTGGACACCAACGACATGTGGTTTCAACAGGACGGTGCTACGTGCCACAAAGCTCATGCCAAATTTAATATTCTGCACCAGCGATTTGAGGGCATGATCATCTCACGTGGAGGTGAACTGGCCACCGAGATCATGCGATTTGACACTGTTAGACTTTTTCTTGTGGGGGTTATCTCTAGTCGCAGGTGTATGCGAGTTAGTCACAAATCATAGCGGTCCTCAAAGGCAACATAACCCATGCCATCAGTCAAATTCAGTCTGATTTATGCGCCAGAGTCATGGACGTTTCGGATGCGCTCCACCCAGAGAAGCCGTGGCGGACATTTGAACGTTGTTATATTCCATACCTAATGGCATCAGTAGACCCTTTCAAACGAAAAACTTTGATGATATCTCACACTTTGTTTTAATCAAATTTAAAGATAGGAAGCGCCTAAAGAAAGACCCTATCATCATCTACGAATTGATATGCCAATTGAAAAAGTTTTTTTAACTATATTGCCCAGAAAATTAAATAGAAGAAACACAATAAAATAAACCAACGGTAACTAAAACATTTAAGGTTGTGTTGTTATAACCACTACAGGGAAGTAATGTTGAAATAAAACCACAATTTCTATGATATACAACGTCAAATACCCCTTTCTCGCACCCTGTATACGCCATGGATGTCCCTCCGACGCAGATAATCTCCAAATTGACCAGTTTGCACTCTAAAACTCAGAAAAAAGGTAAACCCCGTAATGTTGGATTACACAACCTTCGTTTTAGATCAATTGTTTTTCCACTATTAATTGTTTTCTCCTGAATAAAAAAGTAACTCCTTCACATATTGGAACGCACTCCGCTATTTTTCCTTAGAAACGTCTTATCTGAACGCTGCCAACCGACTTTCTTTCGTTTTTCGCAAGTAGCCCTTCTGTATCCTTTTCCTGTTGGACCCCCTCTAAATTCTATCTTCAGTTTTTCTGATCCAATGATGTTTACATGATCGTTCCTTCGTTATGATTCGACTCCTATAAAATTTATTATTTATTTTTCAATTATGATCACACCTGTTCTAAATATGGCCGATTTGGGTTCTCACAGAATTTATTTATGATGCTGATTGTTAAAACCGTGTCTTTTTCAAACTATATTCTTGTCGCAGGTAGGTACAAATAAGATATGATTAGTCTATGGTTCTATAAAACTGGGCTCGCGGTATTCTATAAAGTCTTTGTGGCGGCAAGAATGAAATTCTGTTATCGTTGCATTTGCGGCAACGAAAATCAGTGTTTGAACGTATAAATTCCCCGATACTGGAGGCATTGGAGGCATTTTGGTTCTACTCAATCTCTCAACTTTTGAGTGTTAAATGTTTTTATGTTTCTATGTCGGTTATTACAACTCATTTTCAGATGAGTTTATGACCAGTTATTTCCTATTTTCCTAATATGAACAAAATCATTCTTGAGCTACCCCCCTTACTCCATAACAAGTAAGCTTTTTCTTTGGCTTGGGTATTGCATTGAAAGTTCGCCATCCAAATGATAGAAGTTCTACTGTCACTCAAAAAGTGACTATCTATTTTATGTATTTTGTATCGTCATAAAATTACTGATGAATTTTTCTTAAGCTTATGCTAAATATACTAACACATTGATAATATCAGGTTGCAGATAAAGTTTTGGCCTCAAGTTTTTTTCACATGAAATCAGAGCTTCATGAAGTATGGATGAATCTTCCTCCCCACCCTCTACAAGAACAAGAACCTTTAGGAGACCGTCATTGGATTAAAAAATTCGAGTTGCTTCAAAAAGCACATACGACTTTTAGCTAGAGCCTTCACCGATAGAAGTGTTGGCTACACTAACCTCACAATGGGATCTAATCAGAGATTGGAGTTTTTAGGAGATACTGTATTACAGCTTATTGCTTCTGAGTATTTGTACAAGTATTTTCCGGAACATCATGAAGGACATTTATCGGTAAGAATTGTTATAACTATAGCTAATTATAAATTTACATACAGATTTTGTTTCCATTCTTAAAATGCTAGACAATTTTTATTCTTTTATTTTTTATTTATTATTTCATCAATTAATTCATAAACAGCACTAAAATCGATAATAAAACAGAGATCATGATGATGAAAAAAAAGCATATATTGATTGAACGGAACTGACCGATATTTGATGAAAATTCATTTCAAAATTTACGAGTATAGTTCACTGTAAGATTTTCATTATGAAGATTCACAAAACTGTGACATGTGTTTCGCTACACGATAGCCCACACAATGTTACACAATGGATCACATTCCTGCTCAAGGAAACTAACCACGTGTCATAGATTCCAGTGTTACGATCTCAGTGTTACGATCTTCGTTCTGGTTTGGAGGCCGTCGTGGTTTGGAACTGTATCCTAACATTTCCCAGCACGAGTGGCTGGCTTCTTCAGAGGTCTATTCATCCTGATGGTTCACCGATGACTCGTGATTTCTAGTTCAAAAGCTGTATTTATGTTGACACAGGTAGCCCGCCTTTCTAGTTGGTGCGTTGTTATTGGCCGAAGTGTTATTAACTGTTACATTGCGTTGCACTGCTGCCACCTTAGCATCTGGTAGTATGGGATTCCAAATCCGGTTAGGCGTTATCGCCTCCTCTTTTCTGTTGTAGTTTTCTGTATATTTATGGATTTCTATGGCTTCCCGTACAAGCCGACTGTGGTATCCATGATCGGGTGCAAGTAGTTACACATCTTCAAACAGTATCGTATGATCTCCTTCACTAAACACGTGTTCCGCTACTGCCGATTTTTTTTTTGAACCTAATCTACAGTTTCTCCGATGTCCATTCAGCCTTGTACCCATGAATCTTTTGGTGGTTTCGATGGTACTACCATAGTATACGGTATACCCCCGCAGCTGATAGTGGATCTCTTTTGTCTTTCGCAGATCTCAAGGCTTTGCTGTATTTTCCTGGTGGCCTTAAAGCATAACATAAAAACACTGTTCAATGAATGAAATAGAAACTAATTATATTAGTATATTAGTAAGCCACCCACTTCAACCTCACTCATCTTTTACCCGATACTGATACAAACTTCAAATTTCTCTATAGCATTCATAAAAAAAAATGAGAATGTTATGTTAGAGAAACAGAAAGGTGCTGTAACAGAATTGAAGAAATCACTTGTGAACGCTTCAGCCATGCTCTGAATTTCAGTTCTTTCAATAACAGCTCAGGTTCGAAGTTCTCATAACACTAACACATCTTTCAATATGTCACTAAAAGGAAATGTGATTTTGAAAAATTTCGATAATTCACATTTGATAAAACTTTGTGAAACAAGGTGGGTAGAGTGTCATGAGTTTATTTTCAGATTTTGATTATCTCTACTCCCATAGGCTTTGGATACTATTTCAACATGGACGAATTCTTTCAGTAAGGTGAAATGTCTCAAAAAATCAATCTTGAACACACTTTTCATCACAACAATTTTATTTCCCTGAATTTTATAGTGGATTTTTAGACACATTTGGCTGTCAGAGCAACTGAGTTTGAAAGTGGATAAAAAGGCATTTTCCAAATTACTATATAATATTTTTCACAGAATTATACACTCATCGCTTGGTAGCCAGGTGGTTTGGCATAGGTGCTTTGTTCACTCACTCTAATTGACTGTCGTGTTGGTCGGTGGTTCAAACCCTAATCTGAACAATCAATTTTCACTTGCTATCGTTTAACCCGTGTTAGAAAGCACACGTTAAAAGGTAAGACCTCGTTAATCCTTAGCTCGCACAAGTTTCTACTTCTGAGGGTTGTCATTCGTAGGGCTGCGATAGCTGGTTAACGGAAAAACAGATTTTAAACAGATATCCCGAATATGATTTTTGTCAATTTAATGTTTTACACCATGTATAATATAGAATGCATTTTCAACTTTCAGCTCCTGAGAAGTTCACTTGTAAATAACAGAACTCAAGCTGTTGTGTGTGATGATCTGAATATGGCCCAGTATGCTGTATATAACAACCCAAAGGCTGAATTGAAGACAAAGGATAAAGCAGATTTATTAGAGGCATTCATTGGAGCTCTCTATGTTGATCGGGTAACATTTTTCAAAATCGTTGCCATTGAGAATTACAATCTATCTTTCTTTCTGGTATCTTTCTAGGGTATACAATACTGCGAAGTATTTTGTCATGTAACGCTCTTTCCGAGATTACAAGATTTCATTATGAATCAGGATTGGAATGATCCAAAATCAAAGCTTCAACAATGTTGCTTGACACTTCGTACAATGGATGGTGGCGAACCAGACATACCCATATACAAGTAAGTCAACACTGTTGAACAACTTAATTCTTCAGAAAATGTTGAGTATTAAAAAAAAACAATTCAACAAGACCTTATGGAAGGTCTTTTTCGTTTTGTTTGTTACGGATCTCATGTCAAGCTTTGTCATAGAGAATATAATATTTAAAAATAAGTTGTCAGTAAAAAGTGTCTTGAGCTGTTACTATCATATTTATAAGTAATTAATAATGAAGACCATGTTAAATTTAAGAAAACTGTTAGTACTACCACACTCTGAGATTTAACACTCGATATTATTTTGTTTTCATTTTCTGAAAAAAATATAGGTTATGATGGATCAATATGTGAACATATTTTCATTATTATCAAATTTGAAAAAAAATCTTCAGTCAATATTCTCTACATTTTGCTCCTTCATAATAACCAATTCAATTGCATTAAAACTCTATTAACCCTTCTCATTGTATTGCTCAAATTTAATTGGATTTTTTTCAGAGTTATTGAATGTAAAGGTCCAACAAATACAAGGCTCTACACAGTAGCAGTTTATTTTAGAGGAAGGAGATTAGCTAGTGCAGTTGGACACAGTATTCAACAGGCAGAAATGAATGCAGCGAAGAATGCTCTTGAAATATCACATCGTGAGTATATTTGATCTTTGATGAAACACATTCTGATGCCATGATAGTTTAATCATATGGGTTTCAATGTGGTTAACAATGTTTTTTGTTTAAAAAAAAACAGACTTTCATTCCTCATATATATATATATATATATATATACACATATATATA